GTCTCCTGACAACCCTGCCAAGTCCTGTCAGATAAAAGTGCACAAAGAAGCTCCGGAACCTGAAGTCAAGATCGTCATGTGGATTAGTAAAGTCTGGTCCCTATCATCGGTGGGTCCTTCCTCATCCAGACTGTTCTGGTGAAGAATATTGCAGAAATTTGAGATGTTCAGTTTTCTTCGATTTTATTTGGAAAGAGAAACAATCCAGTACAATTTAATTTGAATAAGAAAAAATCAACTCTGTCCATTGTGGTAAAACATGCTGCTATTGAGCAAATTTCACTGTGATAGTCCACAAGAAGCATGAAGAAGAGGAGACGTATGCTACAACAATCAGATTTATTGATTTGTGTTTACTGAGGGGAGATTTCCATACTTACACATCCTGATACTCTCACCTGTGTTTTCAGGTATTTCTGAACAAAGTTACTCATTTAGACTTTAGTTTGAACAGGGTTTAAAACAGTGTAACTGCCCTTTAGAGGGATTAAACGTTATCACATCCATGTAATAAACGTTATATTTCACTTGGAGAGAAGTCTGCGTGACTAAACTTTAAACGGTTATGATGCTCTTCATGATAAATGCACTTGGACAGACGGGCTCTCTACAGATGGTTTGAACTTTTCAAATGATTGATTCGTGGTCATTAAAGTAAGTATTCAAAATCATTATACCAAAAGAGAACCATTAAATGACAAGTTACTGATTGGCATTCATTAATATTTGTATTTTTATTCTGGGATGACTCATTTCACTTTTCCTCTTGTACCTTCTTCTTCTTCTTCTCCGTCTCCAGTATAGCACAATTTCAGAATGCAATATTCCACATTGTTGTAAATAAGTGGTGTGCATAAAGAGCTGTAATGAGTTCCCAGAGTCAGAGGAAAGTTTATGTATGCTAGTGGATCAAAACAAAGGATCCTGCATGCCTGTTATTGAACAGTGTGAGGACCCAGCTCTCCACTTGCACCATACAGTTTGTTGACAAGGGAGGTTTCTTGCACAACCACGCAGCAGACTGACTGTGGAAACAACAGTTAGAGTTGTGTATCTGTTTCATCTTGTATAGTTAGCACTACTGATAAATGATCTTCACATGCATCCATCCACCTATCCATGCATCTGTTGTAGGTTTGCACAGCCAGAGTCTGCAGGAGCCCCAGCAGAGGGCACTACACTAAAACCTTAGTGCATCAAAAATAGTATTTGTACAATTAAAATGTAAAACATGAGGAAACAGGAAAATAAATTTGTGAAATAATGACAAGTGTGATCATTAGCACTCCCACACATCCATCCCTGTTGAAGTGCCTTTGTGCAGACTCCCTAAACTTGAAACGATAACTTCTCCTCGGACTTGGATATTGGACTTGTTGCTGTCCTGGCGGAGCGGGTCGATAAAGACTAATTTTCTCACTAATAGCCACATTTGGTTGTTAAACTAACGTCTACAAATGTCCTGGTGTTCTCGGATCCTTCAGCTCTTTGTTCTGCCCTCTGATTTGTACCTCGTCTCCTCTTCCTCCTCCTTTATCCTCTTTTGCCTCCTCCTCCTCCTCCTCTCGTCCTCCTTACCCTGTCCCTCAGTGATAACATGACTAGGCCTTATTAAAAGGGTTCAGGGTCTGAGCTAAAGCACACACACTCTCTTTAACACACACCCACATGTACAAAAGCAGGCTCGCTCTGCGTTAGCCGACACAACATTTGATCTTCTAGTCTCCTGATTAATGGGATCTTCTCCTTCAGCTGATAACAGCTCCAGAACCAGCTCTCTATCTTTCTCCTTCACACTCTCCTCCGTTTTTATCGGCTTCCTCTCTCATGGTTGCCCCACTCAGGTCTCTCTCTCTTTCTCACCCGGGGTCTAATTCCATTTGCCTTTTTGTCCTCTTTCACTCTTTTTCCTGTGGTTTTGTGGTATCTGGAGTACTACACCAACATGCATTGCCTTGAGGTATTTCTCAGGAATAGCCTGAGGCAACCAATTGTGGAATGTGGGCTTGTGTTTTCTTTGTGTCTCTTTAATGGCACCTGGGTTGGGATATCCTGGAAGTTGCACGTTTGCAGGTCACAGGACAAAGGTCAAAATTCTAGGTTAAATAAAAACCAGATGGTAAGCTTGGGGACAAAGAGAATGTAAGAGGACCTACATCCCTAACCATATATAACAGGGTCACAAACTCTGGTTTGGGAGAGCTGGACATCATTGGCAGTCCTCTCCCAGCAACTGCAGTGCTGTATTGATACTGGTGTTGTCTTATTAATAAACTCCTATTATACAACCAAGCCAGTGTCACGAAGCCTCCTTCTGCATCTACACAGCGCGGACAGACCAGATACAACAAATTGGCATCACGAACAGTATTTTCTGTGGAAAAGTTGTAATGTGCTGTTGAAGAGAGGCTTCATCTGAATTGGGGTAGAATAGAAAAGAAAACACGTCCATGTAGATTCTCATTCATCCAGGTCATGGTTTTCTTGAAGACTTAAAAAAAAACCAGGCAACTGGACTGTGTAGACTGGACTTCTACACAGTCCAGTTGCCTGTTTTTAAGTCTTCAAGAAAATAGAAAAGAAAAGAAGTTATAGAGAAGAAAAAAAGATGTTAAAATAAAGGAAAAGGGGTGCCAAAAGTAGTATAGCAGAGACTAGTAATGGGAGTGTGCTAAATAACCGTGCAAGATTAACGAAGTCAGGGCCCCTATTTTTTAACAGTAAGACGTGTAAATTAATGACTAATGTGAAAAGGCTGGAAAAGGATAGTCAAATTCAGGTTGTGCAGAGAAAAGTGAGGAGTGAAAACCTGGAGCCCAGGGTAATTGGCAAATAAAGAGTGAGTAAAGTGAAAAGAGAAATAAAGAAGAAAAGAGAATAAAGTTAAAAGAGATAACGTGAAAAAGAGAAAGGGCTGAGATGGCCCAGGTATAAAGGAAAAAGAGAATAAGTTAACTTAAAGGTAAAGAGGAAAAGGCCTATATACTATAGTAAGGGAACATTGTGCTCAGTGAGAAGAAGTGTGCTGGAATTTTGAGTGTGTGAGAGGAGCTTCTGGTGTGTGTGTGTGTGTGTGTGTGTGTGTGTGTGTGTGTGTGTGTGTGTGTGTGTGTGTGTGTGTGTGTGTGTGTGTGTGTGTGTGGACGTCAAGCTGTGAGGGGTGAGTGCAAAGGAGTCTGTGTGTGTGTGCTGAGTGTGGTATGTGCACAAGGTTGGGGATTAGTTTAGGGTAGGTATAAGTGATAAACAACATCTTATTAAACATATATGATATGATATGAGAAATTAACATATTAGGGAAGAGATACTTTTGCCTTTGTAGTGCTCAAAACATATGAGCCCTGTTTCTCTTTTGTACAGGGACGTAAATAGAATAAGTAACTGCTATGAGCCTCTCAGGATAAAAAGGACATTTGTACACATAATAGTAAGAAATGAGCCCCTCAGTAGATGAGGAGGACTTTGGATGGCTAATAACATCCTTGACTAATATTGAAATCAAAGAAGTGTAGAGATCAGCAAGGCCATTTGTGTTCATACAACTACAGGGCTACAGAGCTTTTCCTCCCCCTTTCTTTCTCTTCTTACAGGCCTGAGAACAGAAAGAAATCTAAAAAGAATTAGTTGAACTATTATAGTTGTGTGAAACCTTTGAATGATATACCATGATTAAGGGGAATTGTGTCTAATAGATTTAGGTAGTTTTATGGTAGAAGAAATCTTTAAACAGTGGTAGGAAATGTTGTTTTAAATTGTATTGAGTGAAGTGATTGTAATGTACTAAACATTTGATTTGTCCTTAACTGTGCTGTGCTGCAAACAAAAGGGGGCTTGCGGATGAGAGGCTCACCAGGTCCTGCTTCCATTTTGACAGGCCAGTACAGTTTTGTCGACAAACTCTTCTCCTATGTGTCTGCTGCTACTTAGTTGTACATACACACATTTAAAGTGGAAACATATTTAGTTGGTGTGTACATTTGTTAGTGCTAGACAATGAGAGCAGTTGTTTGGGGGTTGTCTAATACACTGTGTTGGTGTTAGGAAGAAGGAAAGCTTGGCAATAGACTGACCAGTTGAAAGGGCTGATTAAGTACTGGAGTATTGTTGAATTAATAGAGCATTTCTAAGAGGTCTAAATTTTGCTGAAGATTATGGATGTGGGTTGTCATTGCTGCTTGGTAAAATCACACAAATTGATCTTTTTTGGGTGTTGAGAAGTTTAAAGTCTCTGGGGCTGGCAGATTTATTTGTCTTTTCTTGTTTTAAGGTGAAAATAGCTGAACTGCGCTTTGAATAACCTGTTTGGTCATCAGTTGGTGTTTTTAATTTCTATGAAGAAGTTTAAAGGCAGTATCACAATGCCAAAGATGAAGGTTAAAGGTTTGAAAACTATCACTCCAGTTGATGGAGTGATAAAAAGCAATCCAATCGTTAAGGGTGTTGAAAAGATGTCAAAGAAATGGAGTAAGACGTGGCCAGATATTGACCAGCCTTGGTCAGTGGAAGGTACCCTTAATCCAGAAGTAGTTAAAACAATGTAAGTGCTTGTGTCTACCTATAAGGCAGAGCAAAAGAAAGGAAAGAAGGGAAAGAAACACCAAGAAAAGAGACAGATTGAGCTTGGCATTTTGCAATTGTTTGAGCAAGAGGGGCAGAAGATGCTAGAAGCAGATAAGGAAAGAAAGGACAGGATTGTGGAAGAAATAAACAAAAATGTTAAGGAAACAGACTAATTGATGGCAAAAGTGAATGAACCTTTCTCGCATACAATCCCAGTGAAGAGCCCCCCACTGTAAGAGAAAGAGAAAAGGTATGTTGATGTCTATCCTCAGCTCCCCGTAATCAAACAGGAGGGCACATATCACATCAAAGACGAGGAGGAGCAGATAATAGAGACAGGAACAGCTAAAACAACTATAAAGATATACCCAAGCAGTAAAAGTAAAAAGAAAACAGGTCATCCAGCAGCTAGAAGTGAACAAAGGTATAGAAAAATAGAAATGGGAGATGACAGTCAGAGTGATTCAGAGGAGGCTATTGGAGGCTATGACCCAGCAGTTAGACATGTATTAGCTAAAGCAGAGAAAAGAGGAGAAAAAACACTGAGGAAAAAAGAGCCAGTAAAAGACGCCTCTAAGGAGAGTGAAGATGAGGATAGGGATGAAGAATCAGAGAGTGAAGAGTCCTCATATTCTCTTTGGTCAACACCAAGGACTGAAGCTGAGGAAAAGCACAGAGCCTTGAGAAGGATTGAGAAATGCATGGATAAATGCTGTGTCGACCTGAGGGATGCTACCAGTCCAGAAAGACAAAGAGAATTGAGGGAAGAATTCAAGGAGCTGCAAATAGCAAAGAAAGACTTGAGGAAGAAAGGGGTAGAAAAGCCATCTACTTCAGATTATTCCTTACGCCCAAGAAAAGGGGATAATCCAGCTGAAAAAATGTGTCCAGTTGTTGTTCGAGGACAGAATTTGGAGTATGAGCCTTTGCAAAATACAGACATGTCAGACATCCTTGAAAAGTTACCTACTCTTCAGGAGGGACCTCATCCTTGGATTTTGAAGTTGGAAGAAATTATGGTGGGATGGCAGCCTGCCATGGGAGATATCAAGAGACTCTTAGCCAGCATTTTCGGAGTCCCAGCTATGGAAGAGATCTTGCAGAGAGCAGGACTTAACCGGTATGCAGGGACTGCTGTAAATGATCCAGAATTGTTTGCTGCTAGTAGAGCTCGGATGTGGAGATCACTGAGAGATACATTTCCAACAAATGTACATCTGGATAACATTATAATTGAACCACTAGGACCACAGGAGAATCCAAGAGCAAATGTATCAAAGGCTCATCAGGTTTGGAGAAATGTAACAGGAAATGATCCAGACCTGCACCAAATGGAGCAGTCTATTTTATGAGCAAAAATACAAACAGGGTTGCCCCAGCCAGTGAGAAGTAAATTAGCAGAGGTGGTTGGTCTTGGTAGTATGACAAAAGGGGTATACACAGACCATATAGCACATCAAGTGGAGCTGTACAGGAAGAAAGAGAATGAGCAGAGAGAGCATGATCAAAAGATTCTGAGACAACTTAACCAGATACAGTTGGGAGATAGCAAAAAGAAGGAGAAGAAGCAAGCTTTAGTTATGCACAGTCAATCTCAACCAGATCAAGCATCGGTGCACCAACAGCAAGAACAGATTCAGTGCCAAACACCCCAGATGATGCCGGTAGCTCCTTTAGTTCCATATGCACAACCAGTCTTTAGTCAGTTGCAGACATGGAGTGGAAGCAATAGAGAAAGAAACTTCAATCCAAACCTCCAGGCATTTTCAGAAGCGTGTTGGACAATGGTGGACAACAAGGCCAGTATACTAGAGACTGTTATTGGGTAGGAGAAAGCTCTATCAGAGCATGAGTGAATGAGTGAAGGGAGAAAGTAAGAAAGTTTTTGGTAATTAAGTAAAAGATGGTTCTTGTCAAGGACATTGATTATTTGTTGAAAAAGAATGATTCCGGAGGTACAGGGTTAGCACATGCTGCAAGGGGGGAAGTTAAGAGAAAAATCATACGGAGTATGGTTTTTGGGCACCACATCTGTGTGAGCAAATTTTTTATGACATATGCAGGTGTGCAATCTGTCTAAAAAATAATGTTCGAAGGTGTAATAGTTGAAGCTTGTCCAACCAAGCGGAAAGATACTCAGTATGTTGCCAAGTTCTTGTGTAGGGACGTCATTAGCAGATGGGAACTTTCAGATTAAATGTTCTAAGATAATGGAGAAGAGTGTGTGGATAAAACAGTGCAATTGATTTCACAAAAACTGGGAATTGAACAATGTTTGGGAGCTGTGTACCATCCGCCAAAGCCAAGGTATCTGTGAAAAAAATGAATTGGGTGATAAAAAAAAAACCCTCTGGGTAAGATTGGCCAGCACACAGGTTTACATTTTGATGTCATAAAGGGGGAGTATTACTTAGGGGGAAATAGGATAAACATGTCAAACAAAAACAAAAATGTATTTTTGCAAGATACTGCTTGATTTTGCAAGATAATGCTTGATTTTTTCATTTTCATACAACACAGAGAGATAAATTGACATTCATATCACAGATTACACACTAACAAAACTCCACTCTTAGATAAATGAATAATAATTGTTGCTCCTTAACATCCTTGGTTGCTTGTGTAGTGTTCTTTTCCATGGGTTTTCTATGTTTGGGTATCCAATGCAATGTTCTTGTTCACGTCCTCTGTCAGGTTTCAGTTTCTGTTTTCATTGTCCATGCTTGATTGTCCTTGTTGGGATGTGTGGGTCCATTAAAGCTGTTTAGATCTCTGGAGAACCACCTTTCATTAGCTGGTCTCCCCAACCACTGCCCTGGGGGTGGGTGGTCTCCCCAACTGCTATCCTGAGAATGAAAAAATCAAGCAGTATCTTGCAAAAATACATTTTTGTTTTTGTTTGACATGTTTATCCTATTTCCCTCTAAGTAATTCTCCCCCCTTTATATCATTAAAATGTAAACCTGTGTGCTGGCCAATCTTACCCAGAGGGGTTTTTTTTGATCACCCAATTCATTTTTTTCACAGATACCTTGGCTTTGGCGGATGGTACACAGCTCCCAAACATTGTTCAATTCCCAGTTTTTGTGAAATCAATTGCACTGTTTTATCCACACACTCTTCTCCATTATCTTAGAACATTTAATCTGAAAGTCCCCATCTGCTAATGACATCCCTACACAAGAACTTGGCAACATACTGAGTACTTCTTATGACATAATCAATTTGCTCACGCAAATGTGGTGCCCAAAAACCATACTCCTTTATGATGTTTCTTTGAACTTCTCTCCTTGCATCATTGGCTAACCTTGGCCTCCTGAATCGTTCTTTTCAACAAATAATCAATGTCCTTGACAAGAACCATCTTTTACTTAATTACCAAAAACTTTCTTACTTTCTCCCTTCACTCATCCTCTGATAGAGCTTTCTCCTACCCAATAACAGTCTCTAGTATACTGGCCTTGTTGTCCACCATTATTACATGCTTCTGAAAATGCCTGGAGGTTTGGATTGAAGTTTCTTTCTCTTTTGCTTCCACTCCATGTCTGCAACTGACTGAAGACTGGTTGTGCATATGGAACTAAAGGAGCTACCGGCATCAGCTGGGGTGTTTGGCACTGAATCTGTTCTTGCTGTTGGCGCACCGATGCTTGATCTGGTTGAGATTGAATGTGCATAACTAAAGCTTGCTTCTTCTCCTTCTTTTTGCTATCTCCCAACTGTATCTGGTTAAGTTGTCTCAGAATCTCTTGAACTTGCTCTCTCTGCTCATTCTCTTTCTTCCTGTACAGCTCCACTTCATGTGCTATATGGTCTGTGTATACCCCTTTTGTCATACTACCAAGACCAACCACCTCTGCTAATTTACTTCTCACTGGCTGGGGCAACCCTGTTTGTATTTTGGCTCGTAAAATAGACTGCTCCATTTGGTGCAGGTCTGGATCATTTCCTGTTACATTTCTCCAAACCTGATGAGCCTTTGATACATTTGCTCTTGGATTCTCCTGTGGTCCTAGTGGTTCAATTATAATGTTATCCAGATGTACATTTGTTGGAAATGTATCTCTCAGTGATCTCCACATCCGAGCTCTACTAGCAGCAAACAATTCTGGATCATTTACAGCAGTCCCTGCATACCGGTTAAGTCCTGCTCTCTGCAAGATCTCTTCCATAGCTGGGACTCCGAAAATGCTGGCTAAGAGTCTCTTGATATCTCCCATGGCAGGCTGCCATCCCACCATAATTTCTTCCAACTTCAAAATCCAAGGATGAGGTCCCTCCTGAAGAGCAGGTAACTTTTCAAGGATATCTGACATGTCTGTATTTTGCAAAGGCTCATACTCCAAATTCTGTCCTCGAACAACAACTGGACACATTTTTTCAGCTGGATTATCCCCGTTTCTTGGGCGTAAGGAATAATCTGAAGTAGATGGCTTTTCTACCCCTTTCTTCCTCAAGTCTTTCTTTGCTATTTGCAGCTCCTTGAATTCTTCCCTCAATTCTCTTTGTCTTTCTGGACTGGTAGCATCCCTCAGGTCGACACAGCATTTATCCATGCATTTCTCAATCCTTCTCAAGGCTCTGTGCTTTTCCTCAGCTTCAGTCCTTGGTGTTGACCAAAGAGAATATGAGGACTCTTCACTCTCTGATTCTTCATCCCTATCCTCATCTTCACTCTCCTTAGAGGCGTCTTTTACTGGCTCTTTTTTCCTCAGTGTTTTTTCTCCTCTTTTCTCTGCTTTAGCTAATACATGTCTAACTGCTGGGTCATAGCCCAATAGCCTCCTCTGAATCACTCTGACTGTCATCTCCCATTTCTATTTTTCTATACCTTTGTTCACTTCTAGCTGCTGGATGACCTGTTTTCTTTTTACTTTTACTGCTTGGGTACATCTTTATAGTTGTTTTAGCTGTTCCTGTCTCTATTATCTGCTCCTCCTCGTCTTTGATGTGATATGTGCCCTCCTGTTTGATTACGGGGAGCTGAGGATAGACATCAACATACCTTTTCTCTTTCTCTTACAGTGGGGGGCTCTTCACTGGGATTGTATGCGAGAAAGGTTCATTCACTTTTGCCATCAATTAGTCTGTTTCCTTAACATTTTTGTTTATTTCTTCCACAATCCTGTCCTTTCTTTCCTTATCTGCTTCTAGCATCTTCTGCCCCTCTTGCTCAAACAATTGCAAAATGCCAAGCTCAATCTGTCTCTTTTCTTGATGTTTCTTTCCCTTCTTTCCTTTCTTTTGCTCTGCCTTACAGGTGGACACTAGCTCTTGCATTGTTTTATGCAAGAGCCTTAACAAGTGGATTGCTCTTCATCACTACTTCAACTGGAGTGATAGTTTTCAAACCTTTAACCTTCATCTTTGGCATTGTGATACTGCCTTTAAATGTCTTCATAGAAATCAAAAACACCAACTGATGACCAAACAGGTTATTCAAATCGCAGTATAGCTATTTTCACCTTAAGACAAGAAAAGACAAAGAAATCTGCCAGCCCCAGAGGCTTAAAACTTCTCAACACCCAAAAAAGATCAATTCCTGTGATTTTACTAAGCAGCAATGACAAACCACATCCACAAGCTTCATCAAAATTTAGACCTCTTGGAAATGCTCTATTAATTGTACAATACTCTGGTACTTAATCAGCCCTTTCAACTGGTCAGTCTATTGCCAAGCTTTCCTTCTTCCTAACACCAACACAGTGTATTAGATACCCCCCAAACAACTGCTCTTATTGTCTAGCACTAACAAATGTATACACCCAACTAAATGTGTTTCCACCATAAATGTGGTATGTACAACTAAGTAGCAGCAGACACATAGGAGAAGAGTTTGTAGATAAGACTGTACTGGCCTGTCAAATGGAAGCAGGACCTGGTGAGCCTCTCATCCGCAAGCCCCCTTTTGCTTGCAGCACAGCCAATTATCTTCTCATCTGTCCTCTGGGAGCTCCAGATTCAGACGCATTCCATTCTCCTCTCCCCTCTCATGCATCCGAGTTAAGGACAAATCAAATGTTTAGTACATTACAATCACTTCACTCAATACAATTTAAAACAACATTTCCTACCACTATTTAAAGATTTCTTCTCCCATAAAACTACCTAAATCTATTAGACACAATTCCCCTTTATCATGGTATACCATTCAAAGGTTTCACACAAATATTATAGTTCAACTAAAATTTTTTGGCTTTCTTTCTGTTCTCAGGCCTGTAAGAAGAGAAAGAAAGGGGGAGGAAAAGCTCCCTGGATTCTCTCAATCCTAAACTAGGACTTTCCCTCTAAACATGATCACCAGCAAGTGACCATCAACTTAAGACATTCACACACAGAGAAAAACCACACCCATCAGTCAGCAAATCACTCCACTTCACCACACTCTTACTCTGTTTTTTCCCTGTAGTTATATGAACACAAATGGCCTTGCTGATCTCTACACTTATTTGATTTCAATAGTAGTCAAGGATGTTATTAGCCATCCAAAGTCCTCCTCATCTAATAAGGGGCTCTTCAATCGCAATCACGAATTCCCTAGCATTAAGTTAACTTTTTCTCTTTTTTCTTCTTGAAACTGTCCTTACCGGTTTGTATGCCCAATCACGACTTCCCTACCTGTATGTTAACTTATTTTCTTGTTTCTCTATTCCTGGGCCATCTCAGCCCTTTTCTCTTTTTCACTTTGTCTCTTTTACTTTTATCTCTTTTTCACTTCATCTCTTTTAACTTTATTCTCTTTTCACTCTTCTTACTCTTTATTTGCCAATTACCCTGGGCTCCAGGTTTTTACTCCTCACTTTTCTTTGCACGCCCCGAATTCGACTATCCTTTTCCAGCCAGACATTGACATTAGTCACTAATTTACACATCTTACCATTAAGAAGATATGGGCCCTGTCTTCGTTAATCTTGCACGGTTATTTAGCACACTCCCGTTACTAGTCTCAGCTATTCTACTTTTGGCATCTCTTTTTCTTCTATTTCAACATCTTTTTTTCTACTCTACAACTTCTTTTCTTTTCTATTCTACCTCAATTTAGACGAAACCTCTCTTCAGCAGCACATCACAGCCTTTCCACACAAGATACTTTTATACAGCCAAACAGTTGAACACAACAGTTTCAACACCTAAACCAGCAGCACTTTAAGCGAGTCAAACACTCACCTGGCGCCAATGTGGTGCAGGAATAGATGCACTGAAGCTGCGGTGATCCTCTGGAGGCCGTATCTGATCCTGTTCGTGACGCCAATTTGTAGTATCTGGGCTGTCCTCGATGTGTAGATGCAGAAGGAGGCTTCGTGACACTGGCTCGCTTGTATAAGAGGAGTTTATTATAAAGACAACACCAGTATCAGAACAGCAATGCAGTTGCTGGGAGAGGACTGCCAATGATGTCCAGCTCTCCCAACCAGAGTTTGTGACCCTGTTATATATGGTTAGGGATGTAGGCCCTCCTACATCCCTTCTTTGTCCCCAAGATATCTTTTGTTACCATCTGGTTTTTATTTAACCTAGAGTTGTGATTTGCGACCTGTGACCTGCAAACGTGCAACTTCCAGGAGACACAAGAAAAACACAAGCCCATATTTTACAATTGGTCACCCCAGGCTGTTTCTGAGAATGGTCGCCTCAGGCTGTTTCTAAAAAATACCTCAAGGCCTTGCATGTTGGTGCATTACTCCAGATACCACAGGACATACATCCCTGACCCTATATAACAGGGTCACAAACTCTGGTTTGGGAGAGCTGGACATCATTGGCAGTCCTCTCCCAGCAACTGCAGCGCTGTATTGATACTGGTGTTGTCTTATTAATAAACTCCTATTATACAACCATGCCAGTGTCACAAAGCCTCCTTCTGCATCTGCACAGCGCGGACAGACCAGATACAACAGTTTCACATGCAAATCACAAAGGCCATGATTGGTTTTACCCTTTCATTCACCCTTATGTATGCTGTGATGAATGAGTGTTGGAGAAACACACAGTCAGACATGCTTTCATATCCATAACCTGTCCTTCAGCCGGGGTATGAGATGTTTTGATCAAACTGTTTTACAGCAGGGGTGACTCTACTCATAGATACATTAAAATTCTTCTTTCATTTCACACCTGCTCAAATGCACAAATGTGACTCTCTCTGTTACAGTCCATCTCTGTAGGTCTGTCAACGCCCCAAAGAGAAGACATCTCTGTCAAACATAAACTGCACAAGTCAGTGCCCCAGCTGGACCGCACTGGTCAACAAAGTCTGGATGTCTCCCAGCGTCTATGAACTTTTGATGTTTTGGTACCAACCAGCAACAGGACAGCAAACACTTCTGTTGGCTGTTGGGTTCTTGACTGTTCCTCATCACTCTCCTACAGATGGGAACCTTCAAAAGTCAATGCCCTCTTCACCCTGATTTTTGTTCTCGTCTTGTTGGTATGGCTTTTCTCATGTGTGACCCTGACCTCCAGCTATGAAAAGTGCTTTACTTTCTTTATTACCTCCTTGCCAAGTTTGTGTTGACTAATCAGCTGTTTTACTCGACAACAATGACACAATCCTCACCTCGAAGTAATGATGCACTCCTCCACAAGAGCAGCAGCAGAGCTCAAGAATAGATGCTGAGTACTTAATAAATTAACCTCCACTGTTTAATGATGTTTAATAAGTGCTAAATGTGAAGAACCCTCGATTGAAAATGACAGACTGCTGCAATTAGGGGATTCAAATAGCCGTTTGTGTGTCCATCAGTCAGTTATCAATGGACAGCAGGGTCACTGTGCATCCAGCATACTGATTATAAAGCTGAGACTTGCACACACACACACATACACACACACACGCACGTACACACGCACATACACACACACACAAACACACACACTGACAGTCCTGAGTAATTCTCACACTGTCTCTCTTTGTGTCTCACATCTCTTACTCTCTCACACAAACACACATCCGTCCTGCTCAGGGTTGAACCATAGACTGTATATACTATGGACAACTTGGTTCCGCGTCCCGCCTGTATACGGATTTGAAGCCAAATAGCTCTCGGTATTTCCAGGATTTTTCTTCATTTCCTGAAACCAGTGCTGCACAGTAGCGATGCGCGCATTCGGACGCGCAGTCGCCGAGAGTCGCTGTGATGACGCTCGGCTCAAACAGCGTATCCCCCAGGAGAGCTCCGCAATCCCTGAACGCCAATAGGCTGTATCAGGTGTCAGTCATAGAAAACATGAACCCCCTGATAACTTTTAAAAACGGAGCTTCACAGAAAAAAGAGGACTTGAGCACAAACCAGTCTGACAGTAATTACATGTCAATATCACAAGCAGGGAGGGGGAAAATCTATGTTCTGTGTAATAAATTTCTAAAGATCGTCCACAGCTCCATAAGCATTGCTGGCGGGGTTGGGATTTATGACCTATACTGCAGCCCATCAACAGAGGGTGCTGTTCTCGGAGTGGCTTCACCCAGCAAGGAGGCAGACTCTGTCCATTCTATATACAGTCTATGGGTTGAACCCATCACTCTCTCTCTTTATCCCTCTCTCTCAACACCCCCATGTGATGCGTATTGGTTCATAATCGTCTTCCAAATCTATTCATGGATTTCATTGATACTGAGAACCTGCGCTGCGTATTTAGCATGACAAATGTCAGTGATGTGGATGCATTCTGCACAGCTATTGGAAAGGAAATCCAGAATGCACACCCTGACTAGTGTTCTACCCAGTAAAGTTCTAAGCATGTACCAGCAGCACAGAAAAGGTAGTAAGGCTGCACGATATTGGAAAAATCTAACATTGCGATTTTTTTCAATCCTGCGATATATATTGCGATATTAAAAAATACAGGAATTTTCACCAGATGACCTAAATAGCACTTTATGTTGTGCTGCACTGCTGAAATCTTGAGGACAGTTAACCTGCACTGATCTTACCTCTTTTTGTAAATGTTAGTGGAGTGGCTTTTGTCTGTCTCAGAGATATTTTTAGCTTTTATTGTGCTGGGATGCTATTGTGGCAACAGATGAACACAGAAGACGTGTTTTAGTCGACATTATCCATCTTGTCACCGAAATAATTCCAGGTAACTGACTTTCCTTTTGTTTTTGGCAACAAGTCTTCATCTTCTGTGGTTTTCTCTGTGTGTTGCTCAGTTTGCGATCATTGTTATTGTTGTTAACGGGTTGTGCTGAGAAACGCATGTCCTCCGAGAATTGCATGCACCTCACAAAACGCACACTGCTTATAGTAGAGTGGTCCATGGAAATGTACAATTTAAAACCCATACAGTTCTTATTTGTTGGGCTAAACAGTGATGAGTAATGTTCCGAAAGTAATTCTCAGCGGACACGCGTTTCTCTTCTCAGCTCCGGTAGCGCCAGCGACTCCCTCCATGTGCAGGACATGTGCATGGGTGGGTTTCCTCCTCTCTGATTTTGATTGACAGCTGGCAGAGTAGTCTGATTGGCAACTGAGAACTGAGTCTGATTGGCAACTGAGTAAAGAACGAAGGTGATTGGTGGATCGCTGCACAGCACATGCAGAGTCACATGCAGTGTATCTCAGTCAGTTATCCTTGAAATTAACTGAGTTCCTTCACCTCCGACATAGCAGGCTCTGCGATGTGACTATCGCACACACGTACATCGCGATGATGATGCTCAAACGATATATCGTGCAGGCCTAAAAGGTAGTATGACAAATGAGAGTTTATAAGTCAAACATATGGAGTTCTTGATAAACCAGGATATAATGATCCTAACGGCACTAATCCAGGATATCCAGGGGTATTTATGACCCTCACTTCACTTATCCAGGGGTATTTATGACCTTCACTTCACTTATCCAGGATATATGGGTGTTATCATGACCATAACTAGACTAGTCCAGGGTATCCAGGTGTTATGGCCCTCACTGCACTTATCCAGGATATCCAGGTGTTATCATGACCCGAATTGCACTTATCCAGGATATCTAGGTAATATCATCACCCTTTCTGCACTTATACAGGTGTTATCATGACCCTTACTGGACGATTCCAGGATATCCAGGTGTTTTCATGACCCTCACTGCACTTATCCAGGATATCCGGGTGTAATTATGATCCTTACTGCACTAATTCAGGATATCCAGGTGTTTCCATGACCCCAATTAGACAAATCCAATATACACTACAGGCCAAAAGTTTGGAAGCAAGGCCATTACAGGCCGAACAGTTGGGAGTAACTTCAAGTTTTTGTTTACAATGCTTTTTTTTTTTTAAATCCAGTATGAGTTTTATGTATTTTGGGATGTATTTACTCCATGATCAGATGTTGCTTTCATGGAAATGCACCATTTTACTCCATTTACCTTTAGATATACATTGATGTTAACAGACCATTGCTAAATATATGTCAGCAAATGATAATAAGGGCTTAGTTTTAGGGTTGAAAACATTTGCAAGAGTCACAACTGCAATGCAAATGAAAAAAAAAAACAAATAACAGTTAGATTATTCACTTCAACTTTTTGGCTTTTGAGAGTCTGCATACAAAAATCCTAATAAATCTCAACTGTGTTCAAACTACCACAAAATTGGCTAGAAGAAGCAACTGAGTAAAGAAACAAAAGTAAATATTTGTACATTGAGAAAAGAAGGATACACAGAAAGAAAAAGTACAAAACGCCTAAAGGTGTTTCACAAAGGAGTCCACTACACTCTGAAGAGACTAGAGGAACCTGGAATTTATGATGATAGAAAAAGACCTGGACGAAAGAGAGTTACTACAAAAGCAGAGGATAAACATAGCATTGTCACCAGTAAGAGAGATCGGCGAAAGACAGCACCAAAAATAAGGGAGGGAATCAACATGACAAGGTCAAAACCCTTATCTCTGACAACTGTGAAATGATGTTTGAGAAAGGCTGGTCTGGAGGGTTGTGTATCTGCAAAAAATCACTACTTCGTCCACAGAACAAAAAAAACACATGAGTGGGCAAAAGCTCACAAAAATTGGACTTATGAATGATGACTAGAAACAAGTTTGCACTGTTTGGTTCAAAACGCAGTCTATGTCCGCAGACAAACTGGTGAACTTCTGAAAGCACCATGTGTTACACCCACAATTCAGCATGGAGGTGGTAGTTCCATGGTATGGGGATGTTTTGCAGGTGATGGAGTAGGAGATTTGTTTGAAGTAAAGGGTATCATGATGAAGGAACAGTACCACTCCATCCTCCAGCACCATGCTGTTCCATCTGGACTCAGACTTGAAGCTCATAAGTTTGTTTTTCAGCAAGACAGTGACCCTAAGCACTCTGCCAAGCTCTGTCAGGGTTACCTAGACAAAAAAGAAGAGGAAGGAGTTCTTCAAAAGATGGTTTGGCCCCCTCAGTCTCCAGACTTTTCTCAATTGAGCTTGTGCAGGATGAATTGGATCGATCGGTCAGTAAAATGCGTCCCACGAATCAGCAGTCTCTTTTAGAACTTTTCTCTCAGAACTTAATAAAGCTTGAAATGCAATCCCTGGAACATACCTTAAAAAACTTGTGGAACGAATGCCTGGTATGTGCCAAGCTGTTGTTAAAGCCAGAGGAGTCTTTAAAGACAGCAAAGTCTAAGCAACAATAACTCAAATACCAAATTATTATAGTCAAAATGTCTTCTGATAAGTTATTCTTAACACAATAGTAATGTTTATTGTGTTGCAAAATATGAAACTATGATCTTTTTTGGTACAAATCCAATCTTGCTTCCAAACTATTGGCCTGTATTGTATGCACACATACACTCACCGGCCACTTTATTAGGTACACCTGTCCAACTGCTCGTTAACACTTAATTTCTAATCAGCCAATCACATGGCGGCAACTTAGTGCATTTAGGCATGTAGACATGGTCAAGACAATCTCCTGCAGTTCAAACCGAGCATCAGTATGGGGAAGAAAGGTGATTTGAGTGACTTTGAACGTGGCATGGTTGTTGGTGCCAGAAGGGCTGGTCTGAGTATTTCAGAAACTGCTGATCTACTGGGATTTTCACGCACAACCATCTCTAGGGTTTACAGAGAATGGTCCGAAAAAGAAAAAATATCCAGTGAGCGGCAGTTCTGTGGGCGGAAATGCCTTGTTGATGCCAGAGGTCAGAGGAGAATGGCCAGACTGGTTCGAGCTGATAGAAAGGCAACAGTGACTCAAATAACCACCCGTTACAACCAAGGTAGGCAGAAGAGCATCTCTGAACGCACAGTACGTCGAACTTTGAGGCAGATGGGCTACAGCAGCAGAAGACCACGCCGGGTGCCACTCCTTTCAGCTAAGAACAGGAAACTGAGGCTACAATTTGCACAAGCTCATCGAAATTGGACAATAGAAGATTGGAAAAACGTTGCCTGGTCTGATGAGTCTCGATTTCTGCTGCGACATTCGGATGGTAGGGTCAGAATTTGGCGTCAGCAACATGAAAGCATGGATCCATCCTGCCTTGTATCAACGGTTCAGGCTGGTGGTGGTGGTGTCATGGTGTGGGGAATATTTTCTTGGCACTCTTTGGGCCCCTTGGTACCAATTGAGCATCGTTGCAACGCCACAGCCTACCTGAGTATTGTTGCTGACCATGTCCATCCCTTTATGACCACAATGTACCCAACTTCTGATGGCTACTTTCAGCAGGATAATGCGCCATGTCATAAAGCTGGAATCATCTCAGACTGGTTTCTTGAACATGACAATGAGTTCACTGTACTCAAATGGCCTCCACAGTCACCAGATCTCAATCCAATAGAGCATCTTTGGGATGTGGTGGAACGGGAGATTCGCATCATGGATGTGCAGCTGACAAATCTGCGGCAACTGTGTGATGCCATCATGTCAATATGGACCAAGCTCTCTGAGGAATGCTTCCAGCACCTTGTTGAATCTATGCCACGAAGAATTGAGGCAGTTCTGAAGGCAAAAGGGGGTCCAACCCGTTACTAGCATGGTGTACCTAATAAAGTGGCCGGTGAGTGTATATATCCAGGTGTTATCATGACCCTCACTACACTTTTCCAGGATATCCAGGTCATATCATGACCCTTTCTGCAATTCTCCACGATATCTAGGTGTAATAATGACCATAACAGGATAAATTAAGAATACCCAGTTGTTAACATGTCACTTACTGCACTCATCCAGGATATCCAGGTGAAAAAATGAGCCGGACAGGATAAATTCAGGATATCCAGGTGTAATCATGACCCTAACTGCACTAATGCAGGATATTAATGTATGACCATGACAAGAACTGCACTTATCCAGGATATTCTGTTGTTATCATGACCCTAACTGCACTTAACCAGGATAATCATTTATTAGTGTGACCCTAACAGGATAAATTCAAGATATGCGGGTGTTGTCATGATCTTTTCTGCACTAATCCAGTATATTTAGGTGTTATCATGACCCTAACTGCACTTATCCAGGAAATCCAGATGTTATCATGAGCTTCACTGCGCTAATTTAGGAAATCTGTGTGTTACCATGACCCAAACTCAACAAATCCAATATATGTAGGTGTTTTTATGTCGCTTAATGCACTTATCCAGGAAATCCAGGTGGATCATGATCCTAACTGCACTAATCCAGCATATCTAGGTGTTTTAACATCCCTTACTTCACTAATTCAGGATAACTGGGTGTTACCATGACCCCCACTCAAGTTATCCAAGATATGTAGGTGTTATCATGTCGCTAATTGTACTAATCCAGGCAATCCAGGTGTTATCGTGATCCTAACTGCACTAATCCATGATATTAAGGTATTATCATAAACCTTACTGCATTTATCTAGGATATCCAGGTGTTATAATGGCCCTTAGTGCACTATTCCAGGATATCCAGGTGTTATCATGACCCTTACTGCACTTTTGCAGGACATCCATGTGTTAAAATGACCCTAATTGCACAAATCCAGGATATCCTGGTGTTTTCATGAACCTGACTGCATTAATCCAGAAGATCAAGGTGTAATCAGTCCTCAACTGCACTAATCCAGGGAATCTAGATGTAATAATGCTATTAACTGCACTAATCCAGGCTATCTAGGTGTTATCATGACCCTCACTGCACTTCTCCAGGATATCCAGGTGTTATCATGACCCTTACTGCACTTCTCCGGGATATCTAGGTGTTAGGATGAACCTAACTGCACTTATCCAGGATATTTGGGTGTTATCATGACCCTAACTAGACTAATCCAGGATATCCAGGTGTTATCATGACCCTCACTGCACGATCCAGGAATTCAGGTGTTATCATTACCCTCACTGCACTTATCCAGAATAACCAGGTGTAATCATGACCCTAACTACACTTATCCAGGTGTAATAATGACCCTCACTGCACTTATCCATGATATCAAGGTAATATCATGACCATTTCTGCACTTATCCAGGATAACCAGATGTGATCATGACCCTTAAACCACTTATCCAGGAAATCCAGGTGTAATTATGATCCTTACTGCACTAATTCAGGAAATCTGGGTGTTATCAGGACCCTAATTAGACAAATCCAAGATATGTAGGTGTAATCGGGTAGCTAAATGCACTAATTCAGGACATGGAGGTGTTATCATGACCTTAACTGCACTTATCCAGGATACCTAGGTAATATCATGACCATTTCTGCACTTATCCAGGATATCCAGATGTGATCATGACTCTCACTGCACTTTTCCAGGATATACAGGTGTTATAATGACCCTAAATGCACTTATCTTGGATATTAATGTGTTATCATGATACTTACTGCATTAAGCCAGGTGTTATCATGATCCTAACTGCACTAATCCAGGCTTTCCACATTTTTGCATGACTCTAACTGCACTTATCCAGAAAATATATGTGTTATAATGATCCTTACTGCACTAATCTAGGATATCCAGGTGTTTACATGACCCTAACTGCACTTATATAGGATATCCAGTTGTTATTATGACGCTCACTGCACTTATTCAGGTGTTATTATAACCCTTACTGGGCTGTTCCAGGATATCCAGGTGTTATCATGACCCCAACTGCAGAATTCCAGGTGTTATCATGACCCTTACTGCAGAAATTCAGGTGTTATCACATCCCTTACAGCACTTAGCCAGGATATTCACGTGTTATAATGACCCTTAATGCACTTATCTTGGATATCAGTGTGTTATCATGACCCTCACTGCATTAAGCCAGGTGTAATCATGACCCTCACTGCAATTATACACATTATTTAGGTGTTATCATGACCCTAACTGCATTAAGCTAGGCATTATCATGACCCTCACTGCACTTTTCCAGGATATTCATGTGTTATAATGACCCTCACTGCACTTATTTATAATGTCAATGTGTTATTATGACCCTTAATGCACTAATCCAGGATATCCAGGAGTTTTTATGACCCTTAATGCACTAATTTAGGATGTCTAGGTGTTTTCATGACCCTTACTGCGCTAATCCAGCATATTCAGGTGTTATCACTACCGTAACTGCACTTATGTAGGTCTTATAATGAACCCCACTGCACTTTTTCATGATATACAGGTGAAATAATGACCCTTAATGCACTAATCTTGGATATCAATGTGTTATCATGATCCTGACTGCATTTATCCAGGTTTTATCATGATCCTAACTGCACATATCCAAAATATCTAGGTGCTATCACAACCCTTACTGCACTTATCCAGGTTTTTACATATCTCTTACCGCACTTATGTGGCCGGGTCGGGGTAGCGTGCGCTTAATGACAGGGTTGGGGGCGGGGCTGCGGCATCAGTGTGCACTTTAGCGTGATGAACGACAGCTGGGACGGAGCATTTCCGTGTGTGGTGGCTGCTGCAGCAAACAATTGTCCCCCTGGAGCGTCACACGCCGCAAGAGGAAGATAGTGTGCAGGTTGGGCGTTCTACGTGTTCTGGTGAGTTATTTATCTGCAGTACTGTTAAGAGATATCCGCTTGTTGTAGCTGACATCTTTAGTTGTTCAAGAACGTTATTGGTTTCCCCTGACAGAACGACAGAAAGAGACGGGGGGCAGGCAGTATGCCAGAGTGGTGTGAATGAAAGGCCAGCGTTCCGCCCTATTCATGCTGGGTGGCATGCTAACACACCGAGCGTCATTTGTGCCTTTGATATGTAAGTTTCTGGTCCCCCTCCCTGGTTCTCTGACTGTGTATGTGGGTGTGTTGCTAATGTAGCAATCAAGACAACCCTGGGTGTGAAACTCACACATTCCTCACAGGGAAGTTTCCTTATCTGGTCCCAGGACACAGGATATAAATCTTTCCAGACTTGTTTGCACTTTCAGGTTACCTAAGTGACCCGACCGGAGGTTAACTAAACCTCTGACTCTTCACGACTGGTCAATTCGGAGAACAGAGACAGAGTTTTATTACCTTTCAAACTGACTCCATCGTTGACCATCTAAATAAACATTAACGCTTCAACCCAGATCTCCCATTTGAGATTTACCGTCTTAAAGTGTGTGAACATACGGACCCCAGGATAAGGGGGGACACTGACCTCCAGACCTCGGTCGTAAAACCCTGCTCGACCATACACTGATAAAGACTGCATTCCTTTGGTGAAAGAATACAAATGACTGATCCTGACATCTTATGCATTCAGCAATGTACTAATCTGTCTAATCATGAAATTTGTGTTAAAATGAGATGTTTCCCGTTTTTCTATGTGCTCCAGAAGCAGAGTTATCACTCTGACAGAATAAATCCTTTATTCCTTTAGTTTCTTTAGACCAACAGCTTTTCAGACTGTTTCATGAACTTTAAGGAGTTAACTTTATTGACTATGAATCATAACTTTACTCTAAGTAACAGAAATGGTTTAGAAATGTTTGGTTTATATTTTAGTTATTTAGTATTTTTAACCATTAGGTGGTTATAATGTCATTGAATAATCTGAATGTGAGTATTAAGAATCCATTATTAATCATGATGACGTTCATTCACATGTATTTACTCTTTTGTTGTTCACAGTTTCCATGTGTTACTATCTGTTTCATTTCAGAGTAATTTAGCATGTTCAATGTGATACTTAAAACATAATGAGAATGTTTGATGTGATCCTACACTTCATTCATATGTGTTTAGTATCAAATTATTTATCATGAAACCAAGCATTCAATGATATTAATCATAGTAAGTGAGTATCAGATCTGACTCTTTTATCAGCCAAAAGAATAAGTTAGATCAAATAATCAGAGACCCCATGAACCCTCCTCTTTCTCCTCACACACACGCCAGAGACACTCCCAGTGTGAGAAGATAAAACCAGTGGAGTGGGGTTGCTCTTGCTCTTATTCCTCTCACCCTCTTCTGGCCCTTACTCTTGCCCCCTTACTCTTGTACCCTTCCTCTTCTTTGTTTTCTCTTAGAACTTTTCTTAGTCTTCTAAGTTTTACGCCACGTGTTGATTCAAGTTGATTTTTCTTTAACATCGTCTTAGTTCAAGTTTTGAAACTTCAACTTTTTGTGCGCATAGCAATTCAAGATTAAGCCTTTGATTGATTTTTCTTTAAAGGGGACCTGCCACCAAAATTTCATACCCATTTTTATCATTTTTTCATAATCCTTGATGTCCTCTGATCATGTCTGCAACATAATTTTAGCTGAAAAGTTATTTGATGGTTTGTTTTAGTATGCCTAAAAAACCTTACAGGAAAACCAACTGGTTTTGGCTCATTAACATTTATGGTAATGAGCTTTGCTCTGATTGGATCGCTGCTGTGAAGCCTGCTGTGCTCTGATTGGCTCAGCAGTGGAGGTTCGGATTTCGGTTTATCCATCGTTATTATGCTAATGCTAATAGCATATGCTAATGTGTGCTAAAGTAAGGTGCCCAGATGTCTGTAATGATATCCGGGGATATTTGATGCGGCGGCGACGGCGGTGCAGGGGCTGCGTGATCACAGACAAAGTCTCGGTACTATTTAGTAGCAGCGCATGCCCCTTGTAATAACCCCCGTAAGAACTGTTGTTCAGGACTGCTAACTTGTGCTTCCTACCTATTCGGCTACTGTAATAACCGTTGTTCGAGCCCACACGCAACATTTTTGCTCTCATTCATGAAACGCTTAAATCGGGGACATTTTCGGGGACAGATTTTGCCGGGGACAGGTCATCCAATACGGGGACTGTCCCCGGAAATCGGGGACGTCTGGTCACCTTATGCTAAAGGCTAAAAACGGCAGGTATTAAACCATATATTTTAGACCCCGAGTCCGAAGAGGAGGTGGAAGTTGAGGAAGAAGGCGGAGATCTCAAGCGGTGTTTTCTCATTCATTCTGCCCAGCTTTAAGTTCATTTTCCCGGCAGTGAACCGAAGGAAACACCGGTCGTTTGGAAGAGACCCATAGCGGATACAGTGGTAGCTGGGTCTCGCTCTGGCTGTGACTGAGTACGAGAACGAGAGAGTGGGCACGGCTCACCGAGGACGCTCTCGTGAATAATAATGAGCAAGGTCGGCGCAACGTAACACCGACCTGCTTTTTCAATTGGCCTGGTTTACTCGTTCCTTTATTTTAAACCTTTACAGAATGCAAATGACGTAATGGTTTGTTTTCACATTTACAACATAAGACGAACATAATATGGACCTTATCTGACACAAAAAAAAACAAAAATTACATTTTTATGGCAGGTCCCCTTTAATTTCGCGAAGCCATTTTTGAAAGTTATCTCTGCTCATAGAACCTTGTTTATCTGAGTTATCTGCGTGATTTCAAAGTCACCTCTGAACGCAACCCAGCAGGCCCAGGTCATCCTCTGTGCCAGAGTTTTTTTGAGTGAGACCAAGGAAGCGACCAAACGAGCATCCACAGGATCCACAGGCGCCGGCTTTACTTCAGGCCCGAGTGCTACAACTCCAGGCCCATCCTTCGGCTGACTTCAGTCGTCTTCTGAGCTGAACCGCTCGAACCGCCGGTAGCCCGGACCTTCGGAACTTGCTCCACCTTCTCCAAGGACCAGCCTCACTTAAGTATGCAAACCTCCAGAGCTCCAAAGAGGGCTGGTGCTGTCTCATGCGTTCATAACTCAGATATCCACTTATTCTGGTAATCTTAGATTCCTCCAAATCCACATCCGAGTTTATCTCGACACTAAAGTTAGTGTAGGTTAATATGTTAGCGCATATTCACTCACTATCATTAACTTTAGTGCTCCTAGCCTGACTCAGAATCTTTATTTATTCACCTATCATTATTTATCTTCATTATCTTATCATTTATTGCATGTATGTTGTACCATCATTTATCCTGTAATAAACAGATCATTATTTTTCTAAGTTCTTGTCTGTTAGTGTTCTTCCAGAAGTGGAGTCCCTGAAATGAGAATTTCGGCTTAAGATATGAGATTGATTAATTAATGATTGACCTGATGTTTGATTTCTGAATTAAACTTTAGTTTTCTTTATTTTCCCACCATTAAGGGTGGGTGGTGCCCCTTTCAACGAGTGAATAAATGTCATAATTTGAGATTATTAATCTTCAGACATTTATTATAAATTCAAATCGCTACAGTATTATTTTGGGGCGACCGT